TTTACACTCTTGTTTTAAAAACAAATCTGTTGCTGGGTGTGGTGGCTCACAACCTGTAATCCCAGCACTCAGGAGTCTGAGATGGGGGGATCATTGTGAGTTTGAGACCAGCCTGGGCTACAAAGCGAGCTCAAGGCCAGTCTGAACTGCACAGCGAGACCCCGTCTCAAAATTTTAGGACAAAAAAAAAAAAATCTGTTTAACATCCATAAGCAATGACTAGATCGATTCTATCATTATAGTGACCAATTTTAAAACTTTTTCCAAAGTCAATTTTATTATTGATGAATACAAAAGACCTTCAGGCATATTCATTTCCTTTGGGAAACAATGTGAAATGATAATATAAAAACCAGAAATTTCTAGCTTGATATTCTGGAGATGCCAAAAGAGATAAAAAAATAACTGCAGAAGACACACAGCCGCAAGGTGGGTGATGGAACGCTCAGCGTCACTAATCATCAGAAAATGCAAATCAAAACCTGCGTGAGGCATCTCTTCCTCCATTAAGAATGGCTATTACCAAAAAGACAAAAGGTAACAAGTGTCCAGGAGGATGCAGAGAAAAGGGAATTCTTGCTCCCCTTGGTGGGATGTCATTTAGCGCAGCCACTATGGCAAACAGTGAGAAGGTTCCTCAAAAAATTAAAAGCTGTTAGCGTACGATGCAGCAGTCCCGCTACTGGACACAGATCCAGAGGAGATGAAATCAGTCAGAGACGCTGCACTCCCACTGCTGCAGCACTGTCCACATTCGCAACAGCCCGAAGCTGGAAATAACCTCGGTGCCATCAACAGATGAAAGGACGGGCAAATGTGAGGTGTATGCGCCACAGAATACTATTCAGCCACCAAAACCCACTCGTGGAAGTGGAGACCATTACACTAAGTACAAGTCAAGCACAGAAAGACAAGTAAGTTCGTGGCTTACTCCCATGTGGCATCTAAAAAAGCTGAGCTCCCAGAAGGTAAGAGTGGAGCAGTGGTCACCAGAGGCTGGGGAGAGAGGAAGGGAAAGAGAGACAGGCAAAGTTTGATCAACGGGTCTCACGTGCAGCGAGACAAAATCAAGTCCTGTGTGCTACTGCACAGTAAGGACTTCACGGATGATTTACTGCATCAGTAAGAATTACATAGTGTGTGTCTTAAAAAGCTCAGAAAATGAATACCTGAAACCATTTCTGACTAAAGGGACTCAAAAAAAATGAAAGAGTGCAAACAAAAGAATGGATGCAGGGAACTCCTTCAGCAAGGGCAGAACTGTAGATCCTCCAGTATTACAGCCTAACTCATCACTCCCTGGTGGCCCTGCAGCTCGCAGACACCCAAACGATGTGTACACAGGCTTTAACTGAGCATAGCTTGTAATGGCCAGTGTCTGGAGACAATTCAACACCTATCAACAGAGTAGCTGCTGGACTGCACTTTCTCTAGACAACACAATTCTGTTTTTCCACTAAAAAAAGCAGCTGTGTAGGCACTGATACTGGAAAATAATATAACATGCTGGGGAATAAAAGCACAGGAACAGTATCTCTTAGGGCTACCTTCTAAAAACGATCATGCAGATATACCTTAGGCCACCCTTTCACATGTTTCTGCAGATGTCTTTTTCCCCAGATGTATTTATATATGCAAAAAAGTCTATAAATGACACTTGAGCCTAATTCCTAGGAGACGTGAGGGTGCATTTTGTATTACATACTTTGTTATTTGAATTTGTGAAGTACAGCATGCTCTAAATTTTCCAATTTTAACTAATAATTAACTCCAAATCATATTTGATGTGTTGACACCTAAGTCCACCCAAGTTTCTCTCGTTACCTCCACAAAGGACAGCGACTTTGTATCAACCCTAAATTCTTTGGGTCCTATAAGGGGCCTCAAGCCTCCATAATCCACCAAAAAGTATCAGTACACAGGGATTCTAAACAGCCAGCAGTGACCTGAAACCAGTTCAAAGCTCTGTCAACAGAGGATCCTGCTCACTGTGACATTATTTGTCTGTGGTCAAATATACCACACCAGAGTCCTACTCTACTGCCACCACATCAGAAGGCCTCTCCTGGTTCCTTTGCCCACAAGTAACTGCTCTGTTTTTCCCTCCAAACATGGGAATGTCTAAGTCTTCCAGTTTGCCGCCAAGAACCTCCCTCAGAGCAGCTTCTTCAAAGACCCAAGTTCTTACCACAGGAAGCACAGGGCAGACAGCAAATGCCCTTCTAGTCCATCCTGCAGTATCCATAAAATAATCGAACAATAAAATCTAAAAACAAATTGTGAATCCCAGAGCCTCAAAAATGCAATGGCAGATTTAAAACAGTAGTGTAGGAGCTGGGGATTTAGCTCAGCGGCATAAGCGCCTGCCTTGCAAGTGTGCAGTCATGAGTTCAATCCCCAGTACTGATTAAAAAATAAATAAATAAATAAAACAGTAGGGTAAGTTGGCCGTGGTGGCACAGACCTGTAATCTCAGAACTCTGGGTACTGGGAGGGAGGATGACAAGATTGAGAGCAACTAGGGCAATTTATGAAGTCCCTAACTCAAAATTAAAGGAGGAGGATGACCGGAGATGTGGCTCACCATGACAATCCTGGTTCAATCCAGTACTGCCCCCTCCACACACACACAATAGTGCAGCAGTTTTTTGTTGCTTTTGATTGTTTTAAGCTATATTCAGAGAGTTCTTTTACAGCAGACAAGCAGACAATGCAGCAGACAAGCGCAGTTCCAGATACTGCTAACGGAGAAGAAAGATAAAGCAGACCTGTCATGGTCTATGTCTGTGTCCCCCAGGCCTCAGTGCTTGGATTGATGGTGCATTGCTCCACCCTCATGGGGGTGGGGCCAGGATGTGATGTAATTGCAGAAGAAGGTGTGTCTTGTTCTTTGCTTGTTCCTCCTTGTTGTTTGCAGCCGCCATGAAAGGCGGCCCAGCCATGCCCACCTGCTTGGGAGCCAACTGAGTGTGGACTGAAACCTCCAAAAACTGTAAGAAATAAACCTTTCCTTTTCCAACTTGAGCATCAGGTATTTTGTCTCAGCAACGAGCATAAAGTAACTAAGACAAGACCCAACCGTATTAACAGGTACATTCACTGGCTTGCACATTAACATCTTAAGTTTCTTTCTGATGTTTCTGTAACAGACACACATAAGCTATGTAACACTTCACAAAAAAATGACAACAGCTAAGACTCACATGGATTTGACAAAACCACAGAAGCACCAATGCCTTTGTTGCATGCTTCTGGGGAACCTCTGAAACACTGCCGGCATCTCGGAAATGAGGAGAAATATTACCTCCCCCAGGAAAACTTCCCCAAGCCCAAGAGCCAAGTTAATTGCTCACTTTCAAATATTCCCATAGCACTCTGTTCTTCCACTATTACCGCACATCTTACTTCTACACTGACGTACTGTATCCACACATCTCATTTTCCCTGCTCCGCTGCAAGCTCCTCCAGGACAAGGGGAACAATGTATTGATTTTTTAAGTCCCACATGGTGCCCACAATAAAAGGACTTGGTGTTCTTTAAATGCACACAGAAGATCCTTGAGGCACATGCATTCCACTCTTTCACTAAACCCCTGCAGTCAGTGGATCGCTACTAGACCCACTGGAGGTTCTCACAGTGTGCTTCACGCAACTGGGGACGATGATCCCCAGCACTTCCCCTACTCCGGATTTCCCAATATCACCATGACAACAATTAGAACAGAAATGCAGCTATCGGTTTAACAAGGACACCCAGCAAGATAAAGCAAGAAAGGGGCCAAAGAGAGATAGGCTGCACTGGGATGTGAAGGCAGGCATGCTCCCCAAACAGGGATCCCTGACATTACTAGCAACGCTGTAATCCTAAAGATGGAGGTGCCCACGGGGGGGTCATGTTCTTTTTCTTCTCACATGCTATCAGGTGTTATTAATGGTTGTGTTCACTGACATTACTAAACCTTTTCAGAAGATTTCCCACTGTTTCCCGTCCTAACAAACATAACTCAAACATCAATTGTGTTCCGGGCACTATGTTTTTGGGTGTTCAGATATAAGTCTCAGTCTCCAACTCAACAGGTCTGCAGTCAAATGTGGCAGACACATAAACGGGTATGACCTACTGGATACTGTGCTCATTATAAAAGGGTTCCTTGCTTGATGAGAACCCAAAGAAATGGCTATGAGTCATCTCCATGGCTTTCCATTCCCCCAGGGAATATGGAAAACTGCAGGACAACCCATGCCAGGAAGGAAGAGCAGTGGCACAGCTCAAGGCTCCACAATGAGCATGTCTTTAACATAGGGGTCCCAATCCCTGGACCAGAGCAGGTCTATGGCTTGTTAGAAAAAGGGCCACGGGGCTGGGGATTTAGCTCAGCGGCATAAGCACCTGCCTTGTAAGCAGGCAGTCGTGAGTTCGATCCCTGGTACCGATAAAAAGGAAAAAGACAAAAAAAAAAAAGAAAAAGGGCCACACGGGAAGACGTAAGCAGCAAGCATTCATTCCTCACAGCTCCTGTCAGGGCCCGAGCTCCACCTTGCTCAGATCAGGGTGGACCTCAGATTCCAGGGGACACGAAGCCTGTGGACTGCAAGTGTGGGGGGAGTGCAGGCTGCATGCTCCTTCGAGTCATCCCCAAATCATCCCCCAGCTCACTCCAACCTCAATGTGCAGAACAATTCTCTTCCATAAAACAGGTCCCAGTGGTGCCAAAAAGGTTGGAAACCACACATTACAATGATCAAAAACCATCAGGCTGTCTCCTATAGGAACTGTGGTTCCTTTTGCTTTATTTTTCATTCTTCCTCATGTGTTTTATTGTCTGGGGAACTAGTCATAACTTCTCATCCACTGAGCCCCATAGAGTTAAAAAAAAATGCAACACATGAGTCAGCTAAACTCCGGTGAGTTAAGCTGCATCTTCTTGTGGAGTCACCCAGGGGAAAAGCCCACAAGCTGAATTCAGTTAGTGCTGGAAGGCTGCCTTCCATCTGCTTACCGCGTGTGTTGGTGGCCATGTCAGCCACTTTCTGAAAGGCGTCCAAGAAGGCAGCTGCTGCTACTACTGTTGTCCTAAAATGCAAACAGATAACAAAAGCCTGAGGAATGTCTCACATTGGTAAAGTCAGTACAGCTCAAAGGCTGAAACCGCCACTATGGACACAATGTAAGCAACCACGGGAAATAATCCAACTGGACACAGACTACCCAGGTACACGGCCCACTTCTCTCCTCAAAGATGTCCGCCCAGTCATCTGCTGCTAGTCCACGAACACAAGTCCTTCCTATCCCCTTTACCTGACTATAAAGTTACCAGAAAAAGATAGGTATTTCTAGCCAAAAGAAAAATCATTAAAAAAATATAAACGAGCAAAAAGAAAACAACTTTAAAATAGGAAAATAATATATACACCCCCGAACTGAAGGAAAGATCAACTTGGGAAAGATCACAGAGTTCAAAACGGTTCACTGCAGTGAAAGGGAAAGCTGAGGTCTCAAAATCAAAGGGACTTTTAAAGACCACCAGTCCATACCAGAGCTGGGACTGTGAGGCAGCCTGGTGTCTCCCAGGGCCAGCTCACCCAGTGCAACACAAGGTCCCAGCAGTGTAACTCTTCTCCCCGAACTCCAACTACAATGAACTGGGGATTTATTTTTTCAATTAGGATGCTATTTAAACTGTACCTTCTGAATTTCTAAAAGCTGAAAATGGAGAAACTGTACTATACTCACATTACATTCTACAAATGTTTTGGATTCTTACCTCCTGAGTGCTCTGTGGCCTGCTGGTTCCTGGAGGCCGGACCTGGGATGAAGGCAGGCAACGCGCTCCATGCCTTGGTCAAGACTGCAAACTAACAGGCCACAAAACCAGCACTCAAGGACTCTACAACCCAACTCAGCTTGACACCAACCTCCAAGTACTTCCTACATGATGCTAGTTTCTACTGAACACTCCTGAGAACACAAAGTTGCTGAAGGAAGAGAAAGACTGAGAACTAGAAGTAAAGAGTTCAAAATGGAGAAAAAAGAAAGAAACAAGAACAATAGGAGCCATGAAACAAAAGGTTCCTGAAAAGTGCTATGAGAGGTCCACAGGGGCCAAACTTGGAAATGACACCTGACGGTTTCTAGTAGAGCAAGACAGCACTCTGCTTACATAAACAAAAATGGCATGCTCACATACCCAAATCTACGCTAAAGCACAGTTTTTAGAGCTGACATCAAAAGCAAACCCTGGGAAAGTTAGTTTTATCAAACATCCAGCAACTTAAAACTAGCTCATCCTGACTTACAATTCACATCTGATATAACAGCTAGACTTATTCTCACTGCACTTGGAGGCCAATGCCCAGATCTCATGAGTCAGCTGGAAAGGTGCCTTGCAGACTACAGAGCCACCAAGCCTCCACTGTAAATGAGGACGGGGGTTAATTCTGAGGAAGAGCTTTTAAATGACAGTCACACTGCACTTTCTGACACAGTCGTAAGACACCTGGGTGATTTAGCTGCAGGGCACCAAGACGTCTATGCTTCTTCTGCAGCCTTTATCCCTGTTTAGTACAGGAAACTAAACTCTGAGCCATATGCCAGTTCTGTGATAAAATAATGACGAACTGGTCCCTGCCTCAGGATGCCTAAATGTTGTATGAAAATGAACAGGATGCACCCCCAAACAGCAGGGCTAAGAGGACGTTTTATTAAATCATGGGTGTCCAACCTTTGGTTTGCCTGGGCCGCCCTGATGGAACAGTCTTAGGCTGCATACAGAATGATTGTAGTTAATGTATATGAGCACCAACAGCTCCTTTTTGATACACTTAAAAAAATTTTTTTAAAAAAAAGAGTAAGTGGCTCATAGGTTATCCAGTGGCTGTTTCAGATAGCTCCTAAGTTTATTAGTAAGCTCTAGCACCCTCACCAGCAAAAAGGAAAGCAAACTTTCCCTGGTCAACCCTGAAAGTCTTCCAGACAGCTAAAGAAGGCTAACAAGTCAGGTGGGGGAGCAGCAGTGTGTTTAAATGTTTTGCCGGAGAAGATCTCCTACAAGACACAGACTAATCTATCTAAAATAAACAATAAGCTGGTGTGGTAGCACACGTCTGTAATCCCAGCACTCTGAAAGAAGGGAAGGAGGATGGTAAGGTGCCCAGCCCGGGCAACTTTGCAACTTGGCAAGATTCTGCCTCAAAATGCTAATTTAAAAAAGGGCCAGAGATGCAGATCAATGCAAAGGCTCTGGGTGTGCTCCCCAGAACCACCAAATTAATGAATGAATGCAGTAGGGATTAATTAGGTAGGGGAAGGGATGTAGCTAAAGAAGCTAAAGCTAGTGAACGCTGCACTGAGGAGACCATAACTACAAGTCCTGGGGCAGGGGAAATAGTAAAGACCTGCACAACTGGTGAAGGCACCATATGCCAGAGTCTGCTGTCCACCTGTAGGCCCACAGGGGACTCTAAATTCAGGCCCCTCAGAAACAGACAGGATGACAAGAAAAATACTCACCGCTCCCCAGTTCTTCTCTGCTCCCCCAACAGGCGCCATGGAACCTGCAGTCCTATCCTAGGCCTGGGCCTTAAACTCCAGGCAGCCCCTCTGATGTGCCCCAGGCTGAGCTAGGGAAGGCCACAGCACTCCCCTCCTATCATCTGCGCCTCGTCCACGTGGCTCTGTCCCAGAGAAACACCTCCTGACCCTGCTGCTCTCTGAACCTTCCTCACTCATTCAGACCCCTAAGGTCACCACCCAAATTTCATGAATGAGAATCATCAAAATACTTACTTTTTTTAACCTTCACAGAGCACCCAAGTGCAACCGTATCCCTTCTCCTGATTTAAAAGGCTCTCACTGATTTAAAAGGCTGCAGCTTGAACAAAAAGTATTTCTTATCAAATCAAACAATTACTTCACAAGCACACCAGGCAATAATAATAGCTTCTCGGTTCAGCTCAGCAGCAGGCCTTGGTGTGTTTTTTAAGACCTTTACTATGGAAGGTGCAGTTTGCATACCCTAAAATTTACCCTTCTTTTTTTTTTTTTTTTTTTTTTTTTGGTCTTTTTCCTTTTTATCGGTATTGGGGATCAAACTCATGACTGCCTGCTTGCAAGGCAGGAGCTTATGCCGCTGAGCTAAATCCCCAGCCCCAAATTTACCCTTCTTAAGCATACTTACTACTCCGTGATTTTTAGTAAATTTAAGAGTTGTACAATCTGCATCACTACTCAATTTTAGAATATTTCCACTGCCCCAGAAAGATGCCTCTTAGCCATTTTTGGTCAATCTTCTTTGCTGTCCACAGACCTGGGCAACCACTAAGGTACATCTGTCTCCACAGATGTGTTTTTCCTAGAAACTTCATGTAGGTAAAATTACACCCCAGTCAAGAGTAGGTTTTAAACCCTTTATGTTGAAAGGCAACAAAAAAAGGTAAGAATTTAGACTCTAGGAACCAGACTGCCCAAGTCCAAACCACAGTTTGGTCACTTACTAGAGAATGACTGGGTAAATCATTTAGCTTACGTGCCTTGGTCTCCTCAGCTGTAAAATGGAGCTGTTAAGTAAATTCGTAGTACAGGGATGTAAGACCTGAACAAGTTAACAGATGCCTGGCACACAGTGAGAGCGCTACAGATCCTTGTGCAAGCAGGCAGAGCAGACATGAGTCTGATTTTACATCAGAATCAGGGCAAGGACGTACAGTTAAACAACTGGTTGCACCCCAGTCAGAACCTACTCTGTGCTTCTCTAACAATGCCCATATTAATCCCCAACGCATGTTGGTCCAACCCACCCAACTCTTTCCCACAGACAGTGCCCTTTTCCTGTGGTACACAGGCATCTACTTACCGCAACTGAGACTGCAGCTTTCCTGCTTTGTTAATAAAATCTTCCCAAACTGGATAGCTCCCCTACAACAAAACAAAGGCATGGGTAAGTCACACTGTAACAGGCATCTGGTTATGACACGAACAGACACTCAATTCTAATTATGCAGGAAACAGTCCACGGAGGCTGTCTTCCTTCATGGAGTCGTCAGTATGCTACCCAAGCTATATATACATGCACTGGCTAAGAAATGGATTCAGAATGTGCTCACGTCCTATAATCTCACAAATACTACAGACAATGACAGGAACTAGCCTGGCAAAATGTACACACACATTTTTGAGCCAGTAGATAATGGCTCAAATTTGAGGTGTACAGAACTTCTGAGGCTCTAGCCTGAACCATGTGCTCATGCAAGGTAGCCCTGGCTGTCGTCACCTTTGTCCCACAGAGGGGAGGAGGGACCTAGAGTAACTGGGACTCCTCCCTCCTCAGGACAGGTGGCTCTCAGGAAGCACCATCAGACTATCAGAATTTCAGGGTGGCAAAGCGACCTAAATACAGCTGCTCAGCTGGTGGTTTAGCCTCAGAGTCTACAGATAACACAGCAACCAGTAGGTCCCCAGCACACTTTAGACAAGAAGAAACTCATCAAGACCAAGCTGCCAGGCCAGCCCTGTAAGTCTCCTTGTCCTTGACAGCTATCATTTCACCGTTCTGGGAGCCCCGAGAGTTTAAACTGATAATCCTGCTTGCGCACTGAACTCTGACCAAAGTCCTGTGCCAAACCCAACCCCACTTCTGCAGAGGACCCTGTGCCTGGCCACAGCATGCTACAGATGACCCATCCAGCCTCTCCCGTGAGTACAGTGCTCAGACACAAACTCGAATCTGCAGCTGCAACTCTGACAGAGGCAACTCAGAGCACACTCCCTTCTCTTGCACACTGAATGTCTGAGAGCAAACAGCAATCTACCAAGGGCCCAGGAAAGGAAATGTCACAGTCAGAGACAGAGTATTTGGCACTGAACTGTTTAACAGAAACCTAAGACCAAAAACATGGGATTACAACTGCACAACTGAATGTAAGTTAAGAACCTTGACAAGGCAAAAATAACACATGCTGCTTCTTCGTTTTGTCAGGGGGAAGAGAGGGGTAAGAGGATGACTTTAATCATTCTATCCCATCATTACAGAAGCCCAATAAAAATCTAAAACTATAATTGAGCTATAACAACATTTCAGCTTTTACTCAATCTCTTTTGGGGGGGGACCTTTTTGAGACAGAGTGTCACTATGCAGTTCAAGCTGGCCTTGAACTCACAAAAACTCTCTCTCCTCAAGCTCCCAAGCACTGGGTTACAGGCGACCATGTCCAGCAGTTAGCCTCCTTTCTGACCTTGCAGTACTGTTTCTCAGTCTTGGCACTACCTAGCATTCTGGACTCTGTAACTGTCTGCTGTGAGGGACTATGGTGGCTTCACACAACGCTTAGCAGCATCCCTGGCCGCCACCCACTGGACACCAGAAGGCTCCAGCCCCATGTGACAACCCAAACCCAAAGTATCTCTAGATACCACTGATGTCCTCCAGGAGGCAAACACTCCCTAGTTAACAATCACTGTCTTAGAGGCATTTAAAAAACAAATTTACTGTGATGAAGGTACAGTCATTTGAAGTTCATCAATTTTTGTCAGTATTACTTTATATCAGTTTCATTTTCTGTCAAAGGAATTAAATATGATTTTGTCTTGAAAAGAATATACCTAGAAGGAACATCATTATAAAATTACCTATTTATGTATTTCTCTAGCTATAATCCTGTTTGAAAATGTGCATAGAAAGTGGTCTAATCAGCCATTAAAACAAGTGATTTCCAGAAGCTAAGATTTAGACCAGTATGTTGCTTTTTTCTCTTTATACTTTCCTTTATGTTGAGAGCTAGTTTGCTTTGCTCTTATAAGGATCATTATCACTTCAATGAAAATGACAGTCATTATAAAAAGAATTTAAGATTTGAATCTGAGGTTCTGACATCAACAGCACCGTGAATTCACAATCTGTTTCACGCATGTGGCTAGATCACACCAGCTCTGCGACCATCTCACACGTGGGGCTGGATCCACCAGCCCTGCAATCCATCTTACAAGTGCAGCTAGATCACACCAGCTCTGCATCTGTGCCCCCGAGTCCTGACTGGTCCAAGGGAGGTCTCTGGACTGATTCCCCTCTGCCATAGTGATACACGCACCAGACACCAAGCGACATCAGGCAGGGACCCTCTCCAAATGGCACCGATGTTTGTTCCCTGGAAATTTCTTCAACTCCAAAACAGAAGTGCATATTCACAGCACTACTGAAATCTCGAGTGTTCAGACCAGTCCAGACCCACGGTGATCCAGTAAGGATCCTGATTTCAGTACTCACCATGTTCTTTCAAAGTCCAGAGATGAACAGCCCCTCATCATCCATACCCAAGTAACTCAGGAGCTAAGGGTGGGGACCGAAGTATTCTGGGGGGCAAATGGGGACAACAGTGCACCCTTAGGGGCATCAAGGCTCATTTACCTCGTCTAGCCAGTCTCTTTCTTCCTAATCCACAAAACGCAGGAAAAAAACTTTTGAAAGCCTGTGGATGTTCAGAAGCATTGCCCACTACTTCCCTTCTGCCATGTGACACATCAAGTCATTTGACCTCTTGATAGGGATGTCATTACTTCACAAATTTGGTGGTGCCAGGAATAAACGAAGTCACACATTTATGTCAAAGACACATCTGCATCCCATGTTTACTGCAGCACTATACAATAGCTAGTGGGTGAATGAATAAAGAAAATGCAGTGTATTCATATAACAGAATACTCGGCCAGAAAAGATAACAAATTCTGTGCCACGCAACTGTCATGGGCAGATGTGGACAACATTATTGTACTAAAATACTCCAGGCACAGAAGTATTACAGGGACTCACTTGTGAAATCTAAAAAAGCTCTAACAAAGGGAGTGAAACGGTGGTTACCAGAGGTGTGAGTATTTAAGAGGTGGGAGGGATGGGGAAATGCTGGCTAAAGGATATATAATTATAATCAGATGGGGGGGATGCAGAGGAGGTAACAAATCTTTAGAGACAAAATGGATAAGCAAGCACCTAGGTCAGATTTGGGTGGGGTATGCCAAGGGAGAGGTGTTACAATCTAGGTCTGAAATGTCCCCCAGAAGTCTCGTGTGTGTGTGTGTGTGTGTGTGTGTGTGTGTGTGTGTGTGTGTGAACTAAGTGCTACACTCACCAGTGGATTTGTCCACTGATAAATTCAGTAGCTGAATGTGCTCTTAGGAGGTGGGGCCTGGCTGCAGGTAAAGTGTGACCTGGAATCCAGTATTCTTATTCTCGGCTCCTCCCTTCTCCCTCTGCTTCCTGGCTGCCATGGAATGGGGCGGCTTTCTTCCACCATACTCTTCCACCACGCGTTTCTGCCTTCGAGCCTACCATGGACTGGACCCCCTAGAGACTGCAAGCCAAATCAATCTCTCCTGCTTTAAGTTGTGAGTGTTAGGAATTGTGTTCCAGGGACAGGAAATGACTGATGTAATGGGGATTGGAAATGACTAGTGAAGGTTATAAAACTTTTATTTTGGGTGATGAAAACATACTAAAATTGAGTATGAGGCATAGTCAGTGGTACAATGCTTATCACACAAAAGACCAGTGGGTTGTACTAATATAAATGGGTGACATCAAGAAAGCTGTATAAATAAACAAATGAGGTGGTAAATAAGGGGCTCAGTGCAGTGCCTGGGACACAGAAAGACATACATGATGGGTTCAAGCACTCATGATTCCAGGTAATCTCATTCAGCATGTCACTGGGAAAGACACTAAAAACTGTCTAATCAAACCACATACCCAGGCCATGGTCTGTCTTACATCTCAGGGTTAAATAACCACAGTTAAGGCGGGAACACACTGAGGTGGCTGGAAGCACAGTGCCAGACGATGTGTCTGCCACTCTGAGCAAATGGCACAGTGGAATACTCAAACTTGTGATGAACGTGGCGTGCATGCCTGAATTCAGCCCAAACCACTTAAAAAACTACTTATCTGCCCCCACACTTGGAGCCTCATCGCTGTCTTTACCAAATTAGCAACCAAAGGAGGGTCCTCTCTCTCGTCTAGGGGTACAGCACACAGTTCCCCACCTACGAACACCCACTCAGATGAAGACTGCCAAAAGCAGCTCTCGCCTGACTTGATGACATTTGACAGTCTATCAGAGTGTGTCAGGCCTACCTGTTTTAGGCAGTGCGTAATTTAATGAAATCTTTTAAAACCAACTTCTAAGAACAGAAGACAAAAACCTCCTTGTTGGGGAAAAAAAACTATATAAATGTTATTAAAACTTAAAGGCAAGGTGATACTGGGTTATTCCAGATTTTTTTTACAAGTTTCTTTAAAGGAAAAAAAGTTTCTACCCACCTGAAAGTACTTTTACTACAGAAATTCAACAGCTTGGATGGGAGAATGGAGGAAAGTAACTGTAGAAAGATTAAATGGCAATAAAGAAAAGGCCCTAGGGTTTTTCACTACACAACTGGGTGAGAAGACCATATTTCAGTTTCAAAAGAAACCTGCAGACCAAGACCAGAGGCACACAGAAAGCAATTCTAACACGGACCTTCATTTCCTAACCTGAGCCCATCTACCAACCTCCCAGAAAATACTTTCCTGAGGGCCCTGCTGCATTTCCAGGAGTCTTGGTCCCAGTAAAGGAGTCCTTAGAAGGACACATTCCCAGAGGTACAGAAACACACAATGCAGGACCCCTCACCTCCTCCAGAGAGCACACAAAGGTGTCACAACTTTCCAGACCCCAACAGCGCCCAGCTTGCTTCCACTCAAAGTCCCAGGCAGAGAAAGGCTGTGCCCCGGAGCTACCCAAGGGCTCTGAGAGGCAGGGAGGGAATCACTGGGACCTCTATAGGGTGCTGAACACAGAACTCAGGCTCACAGGGATAGGAAAGGGCCTACCAAAGGGAAGGGAAAATGATCAATGAGTGATCAACAGGACTCCCTGAGGGAGATGGAT